TATGTAATAATAATTATATTGCTCAAATTTTTTCTACTTTTTATGTATTCATAAAAAAAGTGCTTAATTTTGTAAGAAAAATTAAGTTTGGTAATCGAAATAAACAATCGTGCTGGACAGACAGGCCTGTCGAAGAAGATTTACTGTCGAAATAAATCTCCCAACCCAACTTACATTTTGTGGGTCTTTTTCTTCTTACTTTTCTAAGAATTTTCTTTTCCAGATTATATAAAGATGTTAATTTTAATGTAACATACTAAAAACACGTAACCTCTTCTTCTTCTTTCCCTTAAAAAAAAATAAAAATAAACCTAACCTTGCCAGTGTAGTAGAGCAACAATCTGTACAAGGTTGGACTAGATTGCAAAAAATTAAAGCAGGTTATTGACATGGATTCAAGTGTGCTATGGAGGGTAAACGTTAATTAATCTTATAATGGAAATGATATTTCACTTTTTAACTTAGAAGATTAAAATATTATTTATCTTAATCTACCGTAATACTATTCACATACTACCATCCATTTTTATTTTTATACTAAACACTCTATATGGTACACCAAATGCAACCTACTATACGAAGACTGAGTATCCAAATCTGCTCTTTCGACTAGAAAAAAGCTCAAATTCAAGGGAAACCATGCGAAAAAAGAACCGTCTCATTGGAGCTTGGCCTCAAAGTTCATCTCCATCTCATTTTATTGAAAAATGTCCTCTATCCAAACACTTTAAGGGTTCTTTGATTGTAAAGATAGAATTGAAAACAAATTCCAAAGAATTGAATTGCCTATAAATTATTTTCCTGTGAATTATAAATTATTGTGTTTAATTGGTATAATTTTTCACATGAAAATTGTTGAAATAAAAGTGTTTTTTGCTGTTCGTTTGATTTTATTTTACATGAAAATTGTCAATTAAAGGAATAAATTTTACTGGTATTGGAGATGAAATTTGTTTCCATTGCAAAAAAAAAATTCAAGAAATTCAAGAAAAACATCTATCTTTTGGTATTCATTTAGCTTTGTGTTTACATGAAAATTGCCAATTAAATGGATTTTTTTTTTACAATAATTCTTAAAATTTGTTTCTATTGCAAAAAAAGAAAAAAGAAAAAAATTGCTACAGTAGACTTTCAAAAAGCTAGAAAATGTCTAGGTGACATCCAAACCAAGAAAATAAATTCCATGGAAAATTTTGTGGTATCAAACTTAAACAATATGGAAAATGTTCAAATATTTTCCAAGTTCCATACAATTCATTTCCCATCAAACATGGCCTAATTGTTAAACATTAGTGCTACATTGCACTATTCTTACGCAAATTATCTCCATGCATTTTTAATAAATAAGGCACCGTTTGATTAGCAAAACATTTTCATGGAAGTCACATTTTCCGACTATGGTGTGTTTGATAGGGGTTTATTTTCCATGGAATAGAAATTCTTAGATTTCTTGAGAGGTTTACTTTTCTTGCTTTTGTGGGAAAATCAATTCCCACCTTTTCCCTGTTACTGTTGACGCTTTTTTTTTTTTTTTCATTTTTTTTGCAATGAAAATAAATTCTAAGAATTATTGTAAAATAATATTTCCTTTAATTGACAATTTTTATGTAAAACAAAGCCAAACGAACACCAAAAGATAGATGCTTTTCTTAAATTTATTATTATTATTTTTTTAGTAATGGAAGTAAATTTCATCCCCAATACCAGTAAATTCTATCCATTTAATCGACAATTTTCATGTAAGATAAAGCCAAACGAATACAAAAAAATACTTTTATTTTAATATTTTCCACATGAAAAATTATACTAATCAAACAAAATAATTTACAATTTTTAGGTAATTCAATTCCATGAAATTCGTTTTCTTTCCACCCAAATTTCATTTTTGAAATCAAACGGACCCTAGAGAAATTTATCAATGCATTCATAATCAGAAACCCGGACCAAAGCAACCAAAGATAGAGATGGCAAAAAGAACACGCCCTGCCCCAAATGGGGCCAAAGAAACCCGCCCTGACGGGCTGCCTGCCCCGCGAAGGAATAAAAAAAATTATCTTTCACCACTATTATATCATTCTTGATATATGGCTGTTCTAATAAGGCCAGTTCCTCTAACCTCTTATTTATTTAGCCATCAACAATCTTAGACCTAATTTGCTTTGGCTTGGACAATAGATCTTCCTTTTGCATTTCAATTTCCATCTCCTTATCAACAATATCTTTGGGAACATCTTCAGTACTAAGATACTGTACTTGAGGGCATGTAGCCACTTGCATGGTCAAGTCCTCAACCAATTCCTTGAAAATGTCACCTCGAGCTACAAAATCTGTTTCACGATTCACCTCTATTAAGGTGCCTATCCTGCTTGCTGCTAGCATGTATGTAAGAACCAATTCTTCCTTCAGCTGTGACCCTACTGGATTAGTGGATTTCCTATCTGCACTTGCTAACCCTCTCTTTCTTAGGTATTCCTGAACTTTAACTATGTCTCCTTTAGTTTCAGATAGGGCTTTCTTGCAATCCATCATTCCTACTCCTGTTTCCTCACGCAACTGCTTCACAAGAGCTAGTGACATAGCAGTTGCATACATAACTAGATCTTATCAAGGCAGAACAGAACCAGAAGGAATGGACAGTGAAATAAGAAGTTATTAAGCAAAATGTAAATATTAAAAAAATCAAAAGGGGCAAACCACTTCCCCGTCTAAGGTGGGGAAGCCCTTGCCCCGCCCCACTGCCATCCCTAATCAGAGATTAAACTTCAAACACATCAAACTCAAAGTCAATATTCTACCTTGATGGTACGGGCTTGTTCAGAGCATAGAGCGGCTTTGGCAAAGGTCTCATCGTCAATGTAAACATCTTTCTTTGTCAGTTCTTTTCGAAGGGATTCAAGATTTGAAGTCATTTCAGTGAGATTCGCGATCACTTAGTCCATTTCTCCCTCCCTTTTTCCCTTCTTTTTGTCTCACTCCTCCATTTATTTGTTCCGTGCTACTCTTTTCGACTTCGTTGGCCTACAAAGTTTTATTCATTGTTGGGATTGTACACTAGAATCTGAACCCAGTTTCTCTTCCAATAAAATCATTTTTCTTAATCTCATTTTCAACCAATGTTAAATACAATAAATTACAAGTTTAAAAATTCACTATTTCAAAACTCATTTTTCTCACAAAAAAAAAAAAAGAAAGAAAATATTAATGAAAGACGAACATAAACTAAATATATTGGTGGGGGTGAGAGAGTCTAAGTTCTTCTGTGCAAGTCAATCATCAATTGGCACGGTCAACTCATAGGTAGGGCCGGACATAAGGAGAGTCCCAAGAGGCCTTCGCTTCAGGCCCAGCTTTTTAGGAGGCCCAATTTTTTTTTTCCTTTTCATTTTTTTAAAGGAAAAAAAAAACCATCCATACCTAAACCTTCAAAATTTCAAAATCTCCACACTGAAAGCTTGAGAAATCAACGGCAAAACCTAAATGGAAGAACGACGGTGGAGGTCAGAGCTGATGTAGTGCCCATCATCATCGATTTACCATCAACAATCCACCTCTCAATTTTTCATCTCCTTTTTCAATTTCTATACTGTTTTACTAGTTTTAGATATGTCTAGATTTTTAAATTTCTTTTTCGTTATTTCTTTCACTTTCTGGCACATGTACTCCTATTTCATATTTTCCTTTTCCTAATTGATTTTTTCTAAAATGCTTTTTAAAATTGTTCATTGTTAATTAATTGTTGGGTGGGATTATTTTTCTGTTCATGCAGTGGTTTTTGTTATTAACCTTAGATTTTTAGTTTTGCAAACTAGTTGCTAGACTAATTCTATTGCAACATAAGTCTATACGGAAAACTGTAAACAAGTGAGAGAATGTAAGACTTTTTGTTGGACACATAACGTAGCCCACATAAATGTGATACAATTTGAATATATTCTATTGCAATATAAGTCTACATGGAAAACTGTAAAGCATCTGAGGCTCCCTACCAGTTCCAATCAAGCTCGCTATACCGTACTGCACATTAAACAGTCCATTTTGGAGAGGCATGGGTTTGATTGCTTTTATATTAATAGGGTACTTGGTGAAATTTCACGAGCATCTGCATCACTTAATAATATCTATCCAACAATTATTAGTTTTGATGAGTTTTACCGATTAGAAGCTTTTTAAAGGTGTTCCATACATCTGATTTTGCTTTAGAAATCTTCACCGCACTTTTAGATGACAAAAACGGAATTGATTTCAGACACCGGTGTCATGATTTCTGTTCGCGAAATATTTCTTTCGATTTAAATTACCGCAAGTGTACGGGTCGTGACAAGTAATAAAATGGACGTTAGAAGTTCAAGTATCGTCCCATAGAGAAAGAGTAGTTCAATTTTACTTATTTTAGCCTTAACTGAAACTAATTGAGTTAAAATGAATTTTGGAATAAAAAACCCTAATTTTGGGAGAAATCCCCAAATTGAAAAATCCTAATTTCAAATCAAACCCTAAATTGGGGGAAATCCCCAAATTGAAAAACCCTAATTTCAAATCAAACCCTAATTACTTAAATTCACTTAACTAATGACTCAATTACGAAATGTTATGAAAAATAAATGAAATATATTGTCAATTTATGAAAATCTATGTAAAACGAATGCACTAGGATCACGAATCCCCAAATAATTACCAATTAAACCCTAATTTCACAATTTTGATAATTCAATAAGAATTTGATAAATCAATGCTCCTAAATCTATTCAATACTCTCTCTCGAGATGTATTGAACCTATTCTCATAAATCATCAGCATATATCTCTATGACGGATGCAATTATACAAGAACGCATATAATCTTTTTGTGAGCAATTAAAGGTCTATATACGGCATAGGGATATATTTCTATCCCCTATCGGACCCTATGATAAATTATATATGTCGAGTTTAATCTAATTTTCTTAAATTCAGAATTAAACCATCAAATTCACACAAATCAAGTGCACATTAATTGTGAAAATAAATAAACCAATATAATCCATTCAAATATCCCATCAAACTAATAATTCAAAATCATGAAATAGCAAGTTTAATAATAATTACATGATTCATCGATCACCTAGTTGCAAAAATCTAGCCTATCATGATAAAAATAACGAAATCTAACAAAATATGAATAAAATACATCACCGGGTTATCAAAGATTGAAGAAATCTTGTAAATCTCGCATCAATTCTTGTTCTTGCCTTCAATTCCACTCCAAGATGAATGTTTTTGCCTCCCAAGTCGTTCGTGCGGTTTCTGGACGTCTTGTTGCTATTTAAACCCGTCCAAATTAGGTTACCAAAGGAGTTGCAATCATATAAGGAAACTGCAAAATTCGGGAAAAATTATACCTATGCGACCGCATAGGTTTAAGAAAAACAACATTTTTAATCCCTGGAGGTTCACTCGCGGTCGCATAGGTTTTATACTATGCGACCGCATAGTAGAGCTAATTTCTTGTTTGAGTCATTTTGGTCCTCAAGTTTCATTCCTTCACTCCTTGACCTCCTCTCTTGTTCCTAGTTGCTCCAATGTTCCCTTATAACTTCCAATTGGTGCTTGGCTTGATCAATTGCTTGATGTGTTCATTGGGTCAACTTTCAGATAATTGCAATTTGGTCCCTGAATTTTCATTTTGCTCCAATTTGGTCCTTTTTCGGCTCTTTTCTCCTGAATTCCACTATTTCCATAGAATTTCCTACATTGCATGAATTTGACAAAGTTAAGTAACAATTCAATCATTTTACTTGTATTTAAGTCATATTTGTGATGTAAATAAGTGTGCAAAAACACACTTATCAAACCCCCCAAACTTGTCCTCAAACAAGATAGTGATGTAATTCTGAACAAACATGGCTTAATACCTTGCCTTGGCTCAAGATTGGACTAAGTAATTGATTTTATGAAAATTTATCAGTGCACGATGACATCAACCTTCACCTCTTCAGTGCATACTTGACGTGTGTGTGTGTGTGGATTCATGCTAGCATATCAAGTTCATGATGAGTTTGAGTCCCGACCCTAAGTGGTCAAATGCCTCCTTACTCGCTCGAGAGATACACAACTCCCCAAACTTATTCTTTTCACTCAATTATCCCGGGGTTGTGTTTAAAAATTATGAGCTTACCTAGCTTTAGTTCTCACCCTCTCGTAGTTTGGATTAATTTCACTATCACAAGTTCACACTTCAACAAGTGAAGGCTCTCCTAGTTTTGATTGCTTCGACGCTCAAGACTAAACTAGGTTACTTGCCTCGCCTCAAAGGTATAGTTTCTTCCACCAATTGTCCAAGGGCTTTTCTTCTTGTTATTGTCTCTTTTTGTTTTCCTCACTTTTCTCTGGTTTTTTTATTTTTTCTTATCATCTTCTCATTTGCTTTCTATATAACCCATGTAACGAGCTTTAGGCCGGTGACTCCCAAACCAGTTGGTTTTAGGGCACCAAGTTTTAGACCCTTGCAGGCTTATTCACTCGAGTTATAAAGGCTCGATCAGATGACTTTTTATTAACTTTTTTACTTCTTGCTTTCTATATGACCCATGTATCGAGCTTTAGGTCGGTGATTCCCAGATCAGTTGACCTTAGGGCACCAGATTTTGAAATATCCTTACAGGCTTACTTGCTCGAGTTATAAAGGCTGAAAAAGAAGTGTCTTATTCTCACAAATTAAGTTCATGCCCTTAATTTTCTAGACATCTGGTATCCAAAACTAACCTTCAATATAAGATTTTCACCTACTCTTCATCCCACTGGTCTAGGCAATCCACACAAGAATTCATGCACGGAGCCTCACTCATTTCAATGTTCTCCTATAATAGCTCAACTATCACCAAACTGTCTTAAGGTATTTTACGGGTTAATTCAATAGAGGGTTATAACTATCTCTCTACTTTATGCTCAAAACCCCAATCACTTACCTAACATGTCAAGCATGAATGACGTGCATAAAGAATATCAAGTATTGCATCAACAAGTATAGGGTAGCCTAATTAATACCGATCCCAAAGTTCTGAAATGTACCAATCCAATAGTAACATCATAGCCGGTAAGGCGATTAAGCTCACACAAGCATACATAAGCATAATCAATATTCACTCACAAGCATGTCTCATGCAGCAATTAGTCAAAATAAATCTAGATTGTGGAAATGCAATTAGTTACATGCCGAATGTCTTAATCAAATTATGCCATCATCCCCCAAACTTACACAAGACATTGTCCACAATGTGAAAAATAAGTTTAGAAGGTAGAATTTAAGGAAAATGAATACACATGAGGCAAACGATACTCCCCTGATCAAAATGGGGGTTGCGATGGGAAGCTAGATCCTACAGTATCATCAGCTGGAGGTGGAGGTAGGCGCGCAAAGATCTCTCTCATCAGTGCTGACTGCTGTGTCATTTCATCGTGGATTCCCTCAACACGTGTCTCCAAACGGCCCAAACACTCCCAAGTTTCATTTACCCTCATCTGGATGCCATCCACCCTGCCCACATACACATTGAGTCGACTGTTCATAGTGTCCATCTCCCTCCTAGCTGCCTAGGCATCCTGGCGAGCAGCACG